AATTTATATTAGATTTTCATTGAGATTTTCGCTTAATCACAGCTGTCAAGTGGACCCTTTGCCTTTTCGCGCTGTTACAATCCCCACATTTTCTTAACACTCACCGTCAAACCCTCGAATAATCGTACATGCACATATTGTTACATACACATATGAAGTGAATATATGAAGTGCATGCATATATGATTATAGTGCAGTTTCTCAATTTTTCTTAGTGTCATGTTGCAACAAAATTAATGATTTGCTAAAATATTAAGTATTTTGTGCTACATATAGGCGGTGCTAAATTATTGTAATACAACACATACACATGTCTATGTAGTACATATGTATGCATGTGTAATAAAGTGAAGGTTCTCAAACGAAAATGGCGTAAAATTTGTATTCAACTCCAAAGTGTCTAGGCACATTTCCGTTTTTGCCCTTTAGCATTACATAATTGCTTATAAGAGTCCACCGAATAATTAAATATTCCTTGTTTACGCTATTCATTAATTTTTTATGTTATTTTTAATTTTTTATTTTTTATTATTTTGAATTTTCTTGTTCTACGTAACTTTTGGCGCTTAGCCTATTTCTCAATCACTTAGTTTCATACGGAGAGCTTCTAGCTAATTTATGTGCATTTCCAATATTTAATTAATTCATATAATTCCAAATATGTGCATATGTATGTATAAACAAATTCCGACGTATAGAGCTTTGCTACCACAAATCAAGGGCTTTTAAAACGCACTGCTAGCTTTATTTATTCTTTTAGCGGTCACTTTTGTGTAAATATATAACATATATACATATGTACATATATATTTATATGTTCAGTAAAAATAACCACGTGACATTGTCAACGTATTTAAAGAAAATTGAAAAAATAAATAAAAATTAAAAAAAAAACACACACACAACACAAAGACCTTTAACTCATCACCAAAAATGGTGTTTGGTGCACACTGGCCACGTATAAAGAGAAGCTGTGCATATATAGAGAGTTAAAGAAGCTAATAAAACCTGCTTTAAACTCACCTTGACTTTGCCGGTTTTTTTTTTAATTACTTCATATCTGAACTATTGAATGTTTTTCGATATGTGATATAAAAATATATGGATTTCCTTTATCGTACATGTGTTTGTACAAGCACTTTTTGTATATTAATTTTTTTTGGGCTTAAGTTTTTTCTTCTTTTTTTAGCTAAAATTCTGTATCATACTTTTAAAAAATAATAAAAATGTTTTAAGTTCTATCACTATTGTTTTCCTCCAACCTGTGCATTTAATTTATGCTTCAATGTCTCTTTAGAATACAAATTTTTTTCTGCGTACTTCGTTTTTTTATTATTTTTTCATTTATAAAAAGCGTTGATTGTGTGGATCTTCATTTACATTCAATACTCTTCGTGCAATACCCTATAGGAAAAGGTGGTTACAAAAATGAAATGTGTCTGCCAAACTCTGCACTTCTATAAGCTAACCTTCCTAAATTACAGGAATGTGTTGCCATCACTTTTTGCTATTTTCGTATTTTATATTTAAGGGTTTACTAAGAAAATACTATCTTTTTTTATTGCAAATTACTTTTTATTTTTCTTTGCTTCGTCTAGACTTCCTCTCGTTTATTTAGAATCTTAATTACAACTTAATTAAAATATAAATTAATTATTTTGCTTTCGAAACCCTATAATTTATTTGTCAACACAAACACTTGTATAATAACAAATTTGTTTGCACATACACTTACATAGAAAATCGATTGCACCCATGCAATGCATTGATTGCTTGAGTATAGTTGTTGCTGTGAAATAATTAAACGAACAACTAGTAAAAGAGGAAAAAAATTTAGGAGAAGAAACTTCAGAAGAAGGTTGAAAATTTTTATTTATGTTAATAATATTTTTATTGCCCACTGATATCCCATTTGAATTAAATTTTGTTGGCTGTCTCGAAGAATTTAGTGGTAAAAACTAAAAAAATAAAGTTTAAATATTGGATGAGTGCATAAGTTCGTGCCCGATTTCAAGTGCAAACTAAAATTGAAATTTTTTGAAGAAAGCGCTTTTATTGATCAATTATGTGTTCGCCATCGTGTTTGGCAATCCACTCCCAACGTTCAACCAATTCACGGATGCTTGATTCATAAAAATCGCGCGGTTTCTCGTTGAAAAAGGTGTCAAGGTGGTTTTTGACGTCTTCCACATTTTTAAATTTTTTTCCATTCAAATTTTTCTGCAGCGATCGAAACAAATGATAATCAGAAGGTGCAATGTCGGGTGAATATGGGTGATGCGGCATGATTTCCCAATTCATCTCCTTCAGTTGGCCAGGGTCGGTTTTGCAACATGTGACCTGGCGTTGTCATGATAGAAAATAAATCCTTTGCGATTGGCCAAAATCGGACGTTTTTCATCAATTGTTTTCTTCAATTCGACCAATTGCTGACAATACTTGTTGGCAGTGATCGTTTATCCAGCTGGCAAGAGCTCAAAATAGATCACGCCTCGGATATCCCACCAAATGCACAGCAGTACCTTTATCGGATGCAATCCACCTTTCGACATCGGTTCCGCCCCTTCGTGTGCCTGTTTCCATGTTCTTTTGCGTTGAACATTGTTGTACAGGATTCATTTTTCATCACCAGTCACGAGCCGACCCAAAAAAGGTTCGTTTTTGATCCGTCGAATCAAAGAAATTTCTGTTGACATACGGTCCACTTTGTTTTTTTTTCACTGATGTGGCACCCATGTATCGAGATTCAAATTGTACCCAACCTTTTTTAAACGACGAAACGCAGTTAATTTGTTGACGTTCAATTCACTGGCAACCTCTTTCGTCGAAATACGTCCTTAGAACATCGTCATCAAGCTCAGAAGGCCGTCCACTGCGAGGTTGATCTTCGAGGTTAAAATCTCCAGAACGAAATTTCGCGAACCATTTCTTTACTGTGCGGAGTGCTGGAGCACGGTACAAATAAACTTCGCGAATATCTTTAATGCAGCGCCTACTGTTTTTCTTTTGCGGAATTCGTATAACATAATATGACGCAAATTATCGGTTTCGTTGTCCATCTTCCATGCGTCTTTTCACTAAGCAACTCCAATCAAAATGAAGTTATTTTATGCTTGATTTACAGTTCGGACTGTCACCTTTCCAACGATATATAATATGTATATATTTCTTTCACGAGCGCCACTCTCAAACGATTCGAACGGCATCCCGCGGAATCGGGCACGAACTTATGCACTCATCCAATATTAAGAGAAAAACTTTTATATATTATAAAAACAACTTTGCCTAAAAATAATGATTACACAATTATAATTATTTTAATGCGTTAAATTTTTAGGGGCTTCCCCAAGAATGTCGACTTGCTTCATAACAACACCATTGTTGTAGTTGTGGAACTAATTTAGTTTTCTTTCCTTTATTTAGTTTTAAGTTGCTAAATTTTGTTTATATTTTCTTTTTTTGTTAATTTCATTCATTACTTTTTTCATTTGATTCATTTTGTTTTTCAATTTCACTTTGCTTATTATATTTTGTTAAATTTTCTTTGAATTTAATTTAATTTAATTTAATGAATTTAATATTTTATTTTTTAACATTTTCAATTTTTTTTTTAAATTTCACTTTCTTTAATTTTATTATTAATTCTTCATTTGGGTTTGCTTGTTTTATTTTATTTTATTTATTTAGCATATTTTATTTATTTTTAAATTGCAAAATTTCAATTCGCAATTTTTGTGTTTTTTATTCACTTCTTTTTTCATTTGATTATTATGTTTTTTTTTTAAATTTTTAATAGATTTTATCATTTTTTTTTATATTTTATGGTATGATACCAATTCTAACTTTTAATTTCATTTTGTTTATTATACTTTGTTTAACTTCATTTTAATTTAATGCAATTTGTTATTAATTTATTTTTTTTAACATTTTCAATTTTATTTTATTTTAGTTTGTTTCATTTTATTATCCTTATTTTTTTTTTGCTTACTTGGATTATTTTACTTTAATTTATTTTACTAATTTAGCATAATTTATTTATTTTTTATTTACTTACAAAAAAATTTTTAATTTTTAAATATCATTTTTTTAATATTTTTTTAACTTTAGATTTTTCAACATTATTTTTATACGTTTTACTTACTTTTGCATCTTATTTATTTTTGTATCTTATTTATGTTTTTAGTTAAATTTGTTTTATTTTAATATATTTAATTTTTATCATTTTATTTTGTTTTATTTATTTTATTCAATATTTTTTGTATTTTTTATTTTATTTCAACTAGTTTTGCTTTATTAATTTAATTTAATTTGTTGTGGCTTAATTTTATTTCTTTTTATTTTACTGTTTTGCATTTCATCTTATTTTATTTCATATAGTTTTATTTATTAAAATTTTTTAAATTTATATTATTTTATTTCGACTAATTACTTATTTATCATTTATTAATATAATTAAATTTTTTATTACTTAATTTTAAGGTTAAAGTTATTAAAACTATTTTTACGTATTCGGTTTTAAATATATTTCTTAAGTTTTTTCAGTTTATATCGCATAATTTTACTTGATTTCATTTTATTTTACATAATTTTAATTTATATTAACTATTATATTCTATACTATTTTTTTATTTTTTATTTGTATTATTTAATATTTTATCTAATTTATTTTAATTTTATTGTTTTTTTTTATCCTTTTTTATTTGAATTTATTTCATATTGTCTTTATTTATTTTAATCAATTTTCAATATACGTACATGTGTACATAAAAAAAAAACAAAAAAAGAACTCTTCATTCAATTTTTCACCAATTTTTTCAGTGTTATTATTTTAATTTTTTTTATTTTGAATGCAAAAACATTTAATAATAAAATCTTATAGCACTAATTTTATTCGGTTGCAAATTAACATTCATCGGCAACTTTAATTATATGCATATGTTATTAATAAATCATAACTAAACGCAAATATGGTGGAAAAAAAAACAAACATTAAAACTAACCCGTTCTGTGTAGTAAATAGACTATTCATACATAGTCTAAATGGTGGTTGCTATGTAAAAATATTGAAGAAAGAGGCGATGAGTTCGATTATCTGTGTATCAGACTGTCTGCTCATTCCACGTTGCACTTCACGCACTTGACCACGTCGCTAGTAAAAATGCAGAGCAGAGTAGTAAAACAGGGCTACGCATGCGCACACGCACTCAACCCGCCGATTCGACACTAATTTATTTTGATTTTTTTTAGACTTAAACTCGCTTTGACCGGCGCATACGTAACAACAAACATACAATGTAAGTCAGCTGTGCTATTCAATATTTATTTATATTTACATATATATGAATATATGCATATTTTTTTTTTTTGTAATTTTATTCAGTTTTATTTCATTTATTTTTTCACTTGTTGCGTACGTATATATCCGTCCGTCGAATGTCGATTTTAAAGCGATTGATTTGCTCGCGCCATCCACTGATCGCCAATCCAACGACTCGTTCAAGTCAACGTACGTTTTCGTTATGAACAATACTGAAATACAGACAACAGCAAAATGTTGCTGACTTTTGTCGTTGCCGCTATGATCGCTTTGACTTTGAAGTCTAGTCTTTTTGTTGTTATTACTGAAGTGTGGTTTTGCCTTGAGCGCGAAATTATGCTGAGCTCAGTGATGAAGTGTGATGAGTGTGTTTTAGTGGCTGGGTAGTGTTGCCAGTGGTAAAAAATTTTATAGTATAACAAACTTTAAATAATAATCAAGTTAAAAGATTTTAGTCAATTAAAAATTGATTGAGTTTCGATGGTATTTATCTGGCTGCTCGATATAAATTCTCTTAATTAAAAAATTAAAAATTCAAAAGTCACTTCAAACTTCAACATTTATACGAGCTTTTTCGAACATATAAGCATTGTAAAGGTTTTGCTTAGAAAGAAGCTTTACAATGAGCTTTAAAATTGTAAATGTTGCTCAACATTTTTTTTTGTATAAAAATAAACTCAATGTTAACAAATATAGGCGTACCTTAAATACCTTATCATATCACAAACATATAATACAATGATATGAATATTAAATGGTACTCTGCCAATATTACAGCTGATTGTTGTCTCGTCAACGCGCATACGTCATGTTGCACAGCCTAAGCTGTTTGACTTACTGAGTAACTATTTGTATATATGTGTATTTATATCTTTTCAATGTTTGTTTACTTTCATTTATTGCATTTTTTCATTGTTGCCGGCACATTTTCCTGTCTTTGAGCTATTTTTACTATTGTTTGCACATCTCCGCCTATCTTCGGTGGAAGTTTTTTACATAATTTTCGTTTTGCCGGTTTTACTTCTTTCTTTTCGCTTTGCGCTATGTTTAATAACAGTTTAAAAGATATTCAAAATAAAATTTGTGTTTTATAAATTTTTAAATTTATTGAAAAATAATTGAATTAGTATTACAATCAACCTGACTTATGTATCAATATGGTTACCATACTGCTTAGCGTTTATAACCATATCAATTGATTTTTTGGATTACGCGTGCACAACTTAGTAATGTGTAAAGTGTGTAATAACGAGTATGACTAAATCAACTCATTTTTGATCCGATCATTATACATTTTGACGGGTCTATCTATACTCCTTCTGGTACTATTTCAAGCATCAATAATTTTACATGAAAGGTAGAAAAACAAATATTTGAAATCTAAAGTCAGGAAAGTCGAAGTTTAATTTTAGATAATATTGAATAAGTATTGAGATAACGATGAGCCTGAATTCGAAGCTGACTTAACAGCGAAGTCGTTTGAGATTTGCTTTAATATTTGATGTTGATAGAGAAGTAAATATGCTTTCTCTGTCATTTTAGTCCTTCTTATCCAAGCCAAATTTTAAAAGAAATTCCTTCCCTTTTCAAAAATCAAAAGTCGAAAAGTTTTTTTTTTTTTATTTATAGCATAACTTGCCCTTTATAAATTACATTTCTACAGGGTGCACCATCTATATATGGTCAATGGAAATGTTGAATAACTTGAAAAATTGTCATTGAATTTTCATTGAATTTTTTGTGATTGCCAATTTTAAAGCCTTACAATTTTTCCAATCTAGGTTCGAAAAACAACGTTGATCAAATGACTCCCATTCATTTCGCAAACAAAACCTCGTTCCTGTTTCGTCATTTTCCATGACACATTTGCCAGCTCTCGAGCGATATCGCAGCGATTTTAGCTCGAATGTTGTTCTTCAGCTAGTCCAAAGTCTTCAGTTTGTTAGCACATATTTTGCTTTCCAAAAAACCCAACAAGAAAAAGTCTGGTGCAGTCAAATCGGGCGATCCTGCTGGCCCCCTTTAGATACCACCCTTCCGGGGAACTTTTGCCGCGAGAATTTCATAGTTGATTCTGCTGTGAGACATGTTGCGCCATCCTGTTGAAACCAAAAGTGTTTCTGACCTTTTCAATTTTAGACGCAGCACGGCCTCGATACTTTTTCCGATACACACGCTGTTTTTCAACCACTGAACGCTTGCACTCAACGTTATTTGTAACTATTTCCGCACGTTCTTTGGACGTAAAGCAACTGAAATTGTATTGGAATAACCTTTCCAAAAAGCTTTTAATGCATGCAATCGGTTGAAATCTGTCAAAGTTAGTCGATGCTTCCATTGGTCACATCCATATTTTATATAATGCATCTCTTGCTGAAGTAGTTTGGCCACTATTAGATGAATGCTGATTGACTGAAATCGTTCAAATCTAATTGGCGTAGATTGTGGAAGCGCCGTTTTTGTGGATTGAGCACACTTAGGTTCCAAAAGTTGTTTTTAGTTAACTTTATCCTAATAAAATTATGACATTCATAACCGTAACCTCGAGGCAATTGTCAGCAGTTTCGTTTTATTTTTGATTCTTTTCCGTATTTCATAGCTAACTTCCTTTGCTCAACTATCAAAATTAAACTTTTTAATTCTGCTTTAACCTTGAATGTTAACAAAGTGTATTGATATAGAGCTTTGAAAATTAATACAAATATTCAACCAAATTTGAATTCAATATTTGAAACTGTGCTCATTTAAAGTATTGATTTTTCATAAATTATTATTATTATTATTTTTTTTGAATTTCAAGCATTTGTATTTGTGTACAAGGGCAATGCAAAGAAGAGAAAGAACTAACTCATGACTTTCCATTTCTGAACTTTGCTGAGCCGGATGCTTCACTTAAATTTTTAGCAAACAATTTGTGGCCACTTAACTAGAGTCCCACGCAAAACCCTTAAACTTAAACGGCTGCGCTTGCTGATTATTTACAACATTCAATCTACAATGATTGCAATCAATTTGCAACAAAACTGTTAACTGCTTGTAAGCCAAGCGAATTTTTCTTTCTTTCTGCAAGAGCAGTAAGTGGGGGAAAAAAATATAAACTTTTTCCGCTACAACGCAGCAAAGAGAGAGAAAAATGTGGAAGTTGACGTTGAACACATATTTTACAAGCTACACTATGTCCATACACATACACATATACATATTAAATATATGCTCAAGAGCTGTGAGTAAGTTTACATGATTTGTTGTAAATTTGTATAGCGTGCTGACATAAACTTATTGCTACTGCCAGTGCAACAACAGATTGTTGCTACTTACTGCTTGATGTAACTGCAAATGATGTTGATGACTGACAGCGCCTGCTGGGCACTTCAGCTCACTTAGCGCCACAAAGTTCAAATGAGAGAATGCATTTATTGCCTGTGGCACAGCAAGACGTTGGTTTGCTGGTTGGTTCGGTTGGCCGAATGACCGACAGACCGCCTGTCTAAGTGAGTTGCTGCCCCGCCGAGACGCATACACGTTCTCCCTCCCTACCGCAATGTTTAACTTAAACCCCAGTTACATACATATATCCACTAGCTAGCGGACTATATCTGATAGTTATGTATATAATATGCATTGTATAATAGAAGCATTTTTTTTTGTACTTGTGGCAGCCGGTTAACACTGAAAGTGGAGTTAGCCGCTGCGCTTACCAAAACGCACGTCAAATGCTTGACATACTTTGAGGCGCTCAAACTCTCATTTAGTCAACTTTTGTAGGCGTTTGTGCGCTCCACCTTTTTTAACGACCAGCCGACAGAAAGAAAAAAGTGCCTGTCCGAGGCTGCTACTGCTGCTTTGACATTGATATTTCTGCATTTTAGTGCTACACACCATACTTACTCTGTACTAATTCTATAAGCATTTAAGTAGTAAATTCGTTTGTTTTTATTTTGTCCACAGCGCTCACGTTTGGTCAGCTGTCTGAATGAGCTGTTGGGGAATACTGCTTGTCACGTCTGTTCCCTCTCATCCTCTCTGCATTACGCTTGTAAGCACTCCGTTGCACTTGTGCATGATATTTATTAAACTTGAATGAATTGTAATTTTCTTCGAATGCTCTGTGGATTTTTAAAATATTTCTCTCATGGATTTTCCCCCATTTTTTTGCGCTGAAAATGGCATGCCCTTCATTAAAGAGGGAATAAAAATGCACTTTTCTTTTTTCATAGCAATACTTATGCAATTATGCTTATACATATGTATGTATATGCGCACAAACATTTGTTTTGAAGAGCACTAATATAGTATATTTGTATGTAATCATGAGTTGACATTTCAAATGTTGTTTTAAGTTTACGTACGTATATATGTATTTACTAATGGCTTTTTAATGCTGCCTTAGTGCCACTTCGTCGCTTCATCACTGCAACCTGCAACACTCGTCATTCCCCCTTATCCTCCGTGAACACTTCTTCATTGCGTCACCAGTTTTTTTTTCTTTAATGCAAAAGCTATTACGTCACTTATTGAAACTTTTAAGTGCTGGCCATTTTATGAGTTGCGTATAGTTAGTATGAATTTGTAAATCTGCTGCATTAAATATTAACTTATCAAATGCGCGGAATTTTTTGTCTTAATATTTAGTATTCGTTTGAATATACCAGCCTTAAAAGTAAACATCAAAATAAATTTAAAAATATCAAAATTAACAATTTCATTTTATTCTTAGTAACCTTTAAACTATAAACTATTAAAGTATATATATGACATAAATTAAAGATATTGTAAGTATTTCTTGTTAAAATTATTTAAAATAATCTATAACTGAAATAATGGTCCAAATTTGTAGTTATAATTTTTTATTGTAATTATATTTTTAAGGTTTATTAAACAATTTATTTGCTCTTAACAAAATAAACAAATTAATTATTTAACAAACTTTTTCAGCTTGGCATTTTATTCACAGCAAACGATTTCACTCAACTTTTATAGTATCATCGTTTACATATAAAACCACCCACACCAAGCTGCTGGAGTGTA